CTGTTACAGAGCATCACCTCTATACAATAATCCTGAATAACTTCATTATTATATGTATTCTATGGATAACACGTTTTTTCTCAGTCTTTTTTCAGATCTATACTTCCTGGTCAGCTCTTCACTCCGGCACTAGCCGGGCTCTCATCCGGCCCGACTAGTGAAAGTGGGTTTTCTCGGGGTACTCCCGTTTTCCCCCACATCTAATTCTCAGGCATCGGATCCACAGATCCCAGCCTTGGCACCTTGATCCACTGATCCCCGCCAGGCCCTGTAAAGGCCCATTTGCTTCATTTTGTTTCGATAACTTGTCAAAATCGGCTGCCGACTTGCTCCTTCTTCAAAGATCAACCGGCCTCTGCTACGCCTTGGACTTGCTTCACTACTGCCTACTTGCCTCTCCTTCATACGACCATATATATTTAATTAATTTATTTTTATTTAATTAATTATCCTATTGGTTAAATTATTAATTACTACTATTACCCCTTCGCACATACGGCTCATTACTCCGCTGACCATTAATCGAAATGTAACCTTATGCCACGAGCAGGGTGAAGGAGGATTGTTTAATCTTCGATCACTCTTGATTAGTAATTATTTCTTAGGAGATAATTATTTTTAAATCAAAATAACTACCAAGAAAAACAAACAAACAAACTACTTGTATCTCATGATGACAGAACCTTGTCGAAACGTTGTACATTTACTGTTATGTTAAACTTATATTAAGGTTTTTCTTCATTACCCATTCAAGCCAACTCCAAGCATTATTAGTCTCAAAGTGGGTTTCTCGTCACCGAATATGAATAAATAAATATATATATATACATACATACATGCAAAAAAAAAAAAAAAAAAAATGTATATTTATCCGAAAAGTTTACACTGTGTAACGTTAGAGGACACTGTTGGCTTAACAACAGCAAAAACAGTTTATAAATTATTGATTTGAAGTAGTAATATAACAGTCAATGAACCATTAAATTTGTAAATATAGTGGTTTGTTATATGTACATTTTATTTAAGTATTTAGAATAAGGATTTATTTGATAGTTTAATAGGTTACCAAAAAATGCCAACTCATGCAGAAATGAACGTTCGACCTGGAGTAGGATTGACGAATGTTCCTGCATCTTTAGGCTTAACATTAGGTTTGGTGCATTCACATCCAACACAATTAGAGGTGAGTGCTAAAGTGTTCATTGGTACGCAATTTATTTAAGTATGTTTATAACTGTTATCAAGATGGAGAAAATAAAACTTACAACAACCAGCTAGTAGTCATATTTGTAGGAGATTTGGTGAGATGTGGAATGATTGTGATACTGATACAGTGATAGTTAAATTAACATTGGGCATAAACTTGATTTTAGTTTAGAAATTATAATTTAGAAGCCTTGAACTTGTTGAAGTTGATATTAAAATGTTCTAAGTGAGGATCCCATGTTTGTGGTTTTATAGAGAGGGGGAATGTTTCTTCTAAATCTAACTGTTAGTGTTAGGCAAAAAATACCTTGTAACTGGTCCTGCTATAGTGTTAATCACCACATAAGGACAGGGCTCCTACCCACACTATTGGCCCTAGGCTACAGATCCACACAAGACGAAATTTAGTCATAATACAACACAGAATATTATAATTTCTAAGAAACTTATAAAAATCATCTGGAAATAGTGTTTCCAGAAACTGCTAATGCAAACTTGAATTACTGTCCTGATCACTATTGTAATGATGCCACTGACAGTGATGTAGTAACATAGAACATAATCACCATATGATATAAGACCATTGCATCCATGGAATCATTTTAGTAGCCCTTTTTTAAAACCCATTCCAGTAAATTGTAATGATTCAAGAATTATTTGCTTTCATATAATTTGTTTAAATGTATTTAATTAACCGTACTAAAACTCTATCATTATATTAATATTATATTTAAGGTATTTAGCATTGGGTTGCAATTTCATTTACTCAAACAGTCCAGCAGTTTGTATGATACTAGCAGTAACATAGACTTATTTGAGAGCTTGTTTGGTTGGGTTATTATGTAAATTCTATCAGCTTTACTACTTTTGGCACAGCACTGCTTTGATGATTTGATTCAAGCACGAATCAGTGGAGTCTGCTGAAAGCTGCCATGTATGCAGTGAACACTTTTTGGAATCAGACTTCCAAAATAAACTACAATTTGATATGGGATTTGCAAAAAAAACTCAATAAACTGGCACTAAAAAAAGATGCAGTGCCCATTATATATCTGAGGGAGATCCATCAAGCACGGCAATCAGCATTATTGAAATATTATCCAAGCTATGTTTGCTTTTCCAGTCCTAATGTATACTTAATCATATGCATACAAATTGGAGTATGTGCAGAATACAGTATCAGGAGTTCCACAGTTGATATTAGATCTACATCTAGATATAGATCCAGCACTTAGAAAAACAAATATTGACTAGAATTTAATCATGATTTACTATATTATCACCCATATGATCACACTGATGGCTGTAAATTCCGTACTATTTTCCTGACATTAGCATTGTAAAATAGTCTTTTATGACATTGTAACATATAACTATTGAAACATATCTATACCAAGAAAGATCAGACAACTTCCAGTCCTCGTCCACTTTGGCCAACTTGTCAATTATACACATTATCGTCTGCAAGCTCTGATTCAAACATAAGGTGCAACTGATACATTACATCTATCTTCCTCTTCATCTGCTGTTGCCATTTTTGTTTATCTTATGTGATGTAGCTGCATCCTTGTAACTTCTGTATTGCTAGCCAGGCATGGGTGAAAGGTCAATAAAATGAAAACAATAAATGTGTATAAATGTATAATGTTGTGAGATTTAAGCTATTTTGTCTAAACATTTTATGTTTTTGTGTTATAATTTGTGTTCATTCTGGAATGAAAGAGGCATAATTTATGTTTATTTCCTAATTTTATTGGTGGTTGTGAGATC